CATCTGTGTCTTACAATGTAAACACTATGTTCATATGGTGTGATGTTTTTCAATGTCATACCGTATGACATCGTCACGGGTTCGTGTGAACAACGATTGTGTCTTTCAATGAAAACAAGTTGTTCATATGGTGAACATATATTAACATAGACTGCAAGAGAAGCACATATATGAACATTTTCAAAATCAAGGATCGTTGTGCATGTGTGCAGATATGAACATAGACTGCAAGCGTTTATCGTTTTCATTATTCTGATATTCTTTTACAATATGATTCTCCATGTATCTTGGACGAAACAAAAATCTTGTACACATAGACAACCAATTTCAATATATGTAGAACATAACTTGAAAAGAAGAACATGAACATGAACATGAAATAATAAAGAAATCAAAAAAATCTCATGATCAATTAGAAGCATCTTTTAAGATTTGTAACTCCCAATTAATTATTAGGGGGTTACAAAAAGGTTAAATTACAAAATTACCCTTATCATTAATTTATAATTTAGATTTGAACCTAAAGTGAAGAAAGAATGTGATTGGTTAAGGTTGGTTAGCTTAGTTTGCACCACCTACTTTTTTTCTTACTGTAGCATAGGCCTTCGCCACTTCAAACGGGCGCTTCGCCCCTCTTTTTTTAATTAGAAAGAGCGAGGCCTTACTTATTCAGGGGGGTGGGGGAACCCGTAGGAAGGGGGGACGAACCGCCGATATATATATATATATATATATATATAAAGAGAGAGAGAGAGAGAGAGAGAGTGTGTTAGGATCATGTGAAAACGAGTGAAAATACTCTTATCTTGTGTGAAAATTGTAATGTGTTCATCATCTTTAATTGGAACCAAGTCTTATTTTCGTGAGTGTATAAACAGTGTTCAGTTTCGATGAATATCTGTTTTGTGAGAAGTGTGAAAACACCATTGAAGGTGTCTATGTTCGTTGATCCGATAGAGTTGATAACGTGCGTTTTTGTGGGCGCTTTTGTTTATTTTTTATATCCTGGTAGGAATTATTTTTTGTGAAGGTATGTGAAGTCTAAGGTGACGTTTGTTTTTTTAAGAGGTGTTGAGGTTTGAAATTTTATTTCACTTCTGATTAATAAAAGGTGATGTTGAAGTCTGAAATCTTGTTAAACATATCATATTCAAACATTTCTTATTATCTCAGTTTAACAATCTTAATACAGAAACGAAACAAGAACAGAATTACAACAATATAAAATCTAAACTACTGTTGAAGAACATAAACAAGAAAATGTAATATACTAACAGTATGAAGATATGAAGACGAATAGATGAAGATATGAAGATCAGAGATAGATCTTCAAGAGTAAAGCGCAATCTTCTTATTTTGAGAGAGAGAAAATTTGAGATGCTCTAAAAAATTTGAGATATTAAAGTGAATGAATAGAATCGAATCGAATGAGCTAAAATCCGGTGATGCTCCCTTTATATATCTTTCAGTTTGTCCAGGTTTGCCCCCTCAACTATTCACGAACTTGCTCCGCTAACCTCCAACAATATCTGAAAGTGAGGCGCAGTCCTTGGGTTTGATGCCAACTCTAACTTTTCAATATTTGCATATTATACCCAATTCTTTTATGACATTGACAAACAAGGACATTCAAAGTAAACTCAGTTAAGTCAAGATTGGATAATATATACATTTTAACATCCGCCCTCAATCTTGACTTTCAAAAAGATCAATCATTTTTTATTTTGAACACATATAGTTGTGATGATTGATACTGAGAGCTTTCGTTAAAATATCTGCAGTTTGCTCGGAGGAAGAAATTTTGACAACTTTTATGACACCTCTGCTAATTTTCTCCCTAATATAATGAACGTCAATCTCAATATGCTTTGTTCTTTCATGAAAGATTGGATTATTAGCAATTTGTGTGGCTGATTTATTGTCACAAAATAAACTTACAGGAATAAGGTTGTTAATATCTAAATCAGATACAATTTTGAGAATCCAGACTATTTCACATGATACAGTTGCCATCGCTCTGTACTCAGACTCAGCTGAAGAGCGTGAAACAGTGCTTTGTTTCTTGCTTTTCCAGGATAATAAAGAATTCCCAAAAAATAAACAAAAACCTGTTACAGATTGTCTAGATGAGAGATACTTACCCCAGTCAGCGTTTACAAAGGCAGTTAAGCTAAAATTATCTGACCTTGTAAGACTTATTCCTTTTCCAGGAGAAAGTTTGAGATACCTGAGAATCCTTAACGCAAGATTTAAATGTGATTGTCTAGGTGCATGCATAAACTGACTTACACAATGAACAGAAAAGGCTATATCAAGACGAGTTGCTAACAAATAGATCAACCTACCTATTAACCTCTGGTAACCCGAACATTCTGCTAACAAAGTATCTTTAGAATTATTAGCATCCGAAATACCAAGATTAACATCCATAGGGGTATTAACAGGTTTGCATCCTAAATATCCGAAATCATTCAATAACTCCAAGCAATATTTTCTTTGGGACATGCAAACACCATCAATACAATCTAAAATTTCGATTCCTAAGAAAAATTTTAACTTTCCCAAATCTTTGATTAAAAACTTTCCTTTTAAGAAATCTTTGAAAGCATTTATTTTACATTGGCTATTTCCAGTAATAACTATGTCATCAACATACACAAGCAAAACAAGAAACATAGAATTAACATGCTTGGTAAACAAAGAGTAATCACTAATGCTTTGAACAAACCCATTTTTAATTAAACAAGATGAAAGTTTAGCATACCACTAACGTGTGGCTTGTTTCAAACCATAAAGAGATTTTACTAACTTGCATACACGTTTATCATTAGAACTATAATACCCTTTAGGAAGGGTCATATAAACATCTTCTATAAGTCACCATACAGAAAAGCATTGTTGACATCTAACTGATATAAAGGCCACCTAAATTGCACAACAAGAGCAATGATACATCTAACCGTAACCATTTTGACAATGGGAGAGGAAAAATTTTCATACTCAAGACCCTCTCTTTGACTATAAACCTTAGCAACTAATCTGGCTTTATATCTTTCAATTTCACCATTAGATTTATATTTAATCTTATAAACCCATTTACAACCAATAGCTTTTCTATTACTAGGTAACTCAGTAATATACCAAGTTCCATTCCTATGCAAGGCTTCCATCTCTTCATTCATAGCATTAATCCAATTCTGGTCACTATAAGCTTGACTAAAGGTCTTTGGTTCCACAGATTTATTCAAATTAGAAACAAAGCAAAGATTTTCAGAAGACAAACACGAATAATTCACTACTTTTTCTATACCATACTTGACCTTCCCTTTAATCACAAAATCATCATATTTTCTAGGAAAGTTACTAGGTCTAGAAAACCTTCTAAGAGTTTGAGTTTGGGAATGACCACCCTCAGAGTCATGACCTAAAGATTCATCAACATTACCACCAGATGGGTTAGCATCACGAGGTAAACTGGCAACCATTCTAGGGCTTCCTAACGGTTGCCAACTGGTAACTCTAGTAAGATCACCTTGTTGAGGTGAGTCTTGAACAACTTGATTTTCAGAGCTGCCTAGCAACTGATTATTATCAGTTCTAGATAGGCCGCCTAGCTCACTACGGTTGCTATCCCTAGATTCAGATTGACAAACAGTTTCAATCTCTATAGGTCCAGTACTCTCATCATTGGGCCCCATAACATCAAAATCATTAGAGGATCCAGACACAGTATCAAAAAAATTTAAAACATTAAGCTTTTCATTCGTAGTCTCATCAGTCTTGTCGCTACTCATCTTAAATGGAAAAATGTTTTCGTAAAACTTCACATCTCTAGAAAAAATGATTTTCTTGGTATCTAGACTATAAAGTCTATAATCTTTCTTTGAATTGGCATAGCCCAACATAACACATTTTTCAGATTTGGGTAAAAATTTATTAGTAAGGACAGGCTGAAAGCCATAAATCAACTCATATGGACTCTTACCATTCAAT